AAGACAGCAATGATACTATGTGTGTAGGTGTATTCATAATCTAATGTTCAGTCTTAAATTGTATTACATAAATTGTCTGTATAAATGATAACTTAAACTTTAGCGTTTCCTGCATTGGAAAATTCAAGAATTTAGAGAATCATTTGTCAAGGTTGACAAATCTCTTCCAATGTAATCTTTGGTTTCTAAATCAATTATGGAAATTTGTATGGTAATAGGCTGGAAGGAATTTTCCTTATGATGATCTGCTGTCTTAAATTCTACTCTTGGAGTTCCCTGGGGTCGCAGTGGTTAAGAATCTGCCTGCCAATGCAGGGGACGCAGGTTGGATCCCTGGTCTGGGAAGACCCCACATGCCATGGAGCAACTAAGCCCGTGGGCCACATCTGCTGAGTCCGAGCTCTAGAGCCTGTGCCCTGGAACAAGCGAAACCACCGCAGGGAGAGGCCCATGCTCCGCAACAAAGAGGAGCTCGTGTTCACCACAACTAGAGAAAGCCCGTGCAAAGCAAAGAAGACCCAGCCCAGCCAAAAATAAATTTAAAAAAATTCTAGTCTAACACAGGAATGTGTTTTTCTATGAGGAAGGGGATATATGTATAGACTTAGTTGTGAAGCAGAAAGTTAACACAACATTGTAAAGCAATCGTACTCCAATTTAAAAAAAAGAAAAAGTTTGAAATTAAAAAAAATTTTTTTTAAAGATTTATTTTATTTTTTGGCTGTGGTGGGTTTTTGCTGCGGCATGAAGGCTTTCTCGAGCTGAGGCGAGCCGGGGCTGCTCTTCATCGTCTGCTCTGACTTCTCATTCCGGCGGCTTGTCTTTTCATCCCGATGGCTTATCTTGTAGCACGGGCTCAGTAGTTGTGGCCCACGGGCTTAGATGCTCCTCAGCACATGGGATCTCAGATTCTTAACCACTGAATCTCCAGGGAAGCCCAAGGATATATTCTATTTGAAAAAGATTTTTAAAGGGTTTTATATTATCTCTGAATTTTTCAAAGCATAGTGAAATTTCTCATAATAATTCATATGAAAGGTAAAGTGTATAGTGTAAAGGTAAAGGTATAGTGTAATGTCTAAATTTCTTCTCCAATGTATATTTTTAGAAGTTATTCCTTTAAAACTACCTCAACCCACTGTCTGCTCAAGTGTTGAGATGATATACAGCAGCAGAGGTAGGAGGTACTTTAAAGCATCTTTACAGTATAAGAAATAAGAAGTCCTAAATGTTTATAGTTGATTTTAATGATTAAGTTGCAAAAGCTTGTGCAAGCCGAAATACTTTTCGTGTTTCTGCCATGCTGGCTTCCTACAGTGTGGTTTTGGTTCAGGAGGTCTGTAGTGGTCCCGGGCGTTTCTACAGGTGATTATAAGTCCCAGCAGGCATGAGAACTACTGTTCTAAGCTTAAAGACATTAACCACCAGGTTCATATTTGAAGAACAAACGAAAACAAGAAAAGTCCTTTCCTTTAACACAGCCTTGTGTTAGACTGAGGAAGCAGATCAATATTCTACCCCTGTGTGTCAATTTCTGAGAGACACTGGCAGCCGGGGCGATCCCCCCCGGCACTCCATCTGGAGTAGCTCAGTCAGTGACAAGGGAGAAAACTCTGCTTCCAAAGACCCACCACTTTCCTTGGAGAAATGGTGGCATGCTATTGTTTTCACTTAGGAAAATACAGAATGCTTCAGGAGCTCGTTGCTCCCAGAAAGGCCACAGTGAACATGGAGACGCAGGCTAAAGTAACTTGGGAGATGACCCTGAAGAATGATCCTTCTGCTTCCTTGGTTTTGTCATTTCACCATGGGACGGTTTATGAGGAGTATCTGCCACTGATCACTTTCTTTTTAAATGTATTTGTTTGACTGTACTGGGTCTTAGTTGTAGCTTATGGGATCTAGTTCCCCAACCAGGAATTGAACCCAGGGCCCCTGCATTAGGAGTGAGGATTCTCAGCCACTGGACCACCAGAAAAGTCTAGGAAGTCCCATGCCACTCACAACCTTTTTCTCTTAGTTTGGTATTTGCGGCATTACAGAGAGGTCAGAATGGCTGGGAAGGGGAGGAGAAGATGGTAAATGTGAGCCCAGAGAGATTTCTGCAGGTTCCAGCTAGTAACACTCTCCATGACCTGGTCCATATAGGTAGATGCTTTAAAAAAAATAATAATAATAAGTAAATGGCTATAGGATTAGGGGACAAAGGTAAAGCTGTAAGATTGGCAGAAATGTCTCTCCAGGCATTGAAATTTACAAAAAAGCCAGCAGTTTTCATTTAACCTCCTGCAAAGGTTTATGTATTGTCTTCTTGCAACCACAAAAGAAAACACAACCATAGGACTCTTTGAATGTTTCATAAGATATTAATAACCACAGCAACGATACAACTTGTGTTGAGTAAAGTTTAAGAAGCTTTAAAATATTTTTAGTTCCTTTCATCTGACATTGTTTAGACTACCTTCAGAGATATTTTTCAACAGTTTCCTTACTGGAAAGAGTTGAGACGTTTTATAAGGCCAAGGTTACTAGGGTGATGTGATTTATAAATTTCCTTTGAAAGAAAGAGAGGGAAAGAAGAAATGGAGGAGCACCAGCAAACACATGTTAACCAAAGAGAGCTGACAAAACAGAGACTGAGTTTTGTGGAGAAATAAAAGGTAGAGATCTCCATTATGGTTAGATCTTCTATCCTCATTTCTAGAAATCAAGTTTGTTTGGTGTGCCTTAGAGAAGTAGGTACTTTCTAATGATCCTCCCATAGCAACCAACCAAGTCCAATGCCCTCAGTCAAATAACTCAAGGAATGCTTTAAAGCCAAGTGCACCTATCCATAAAACCTCATACGAAGTCCTGTAACAGGGAGCCACAAAAATATAAGAGAAAATGCACCTGATTAATAATTGCAAAGGTTTATGTATTGTCTTCTTGCAACCACAAAAGAAAACACAACCATAGGACTCTTTGAATGTTTCATAAGATATTAATAACCACAGCAACGACACAACTTGTGTTGAGTAAAGTTTAAGAAGCTTTAAAATATTTTTAGTTCCTTTCATCTGACATTGTTTAGACTACCTTCAGAGATATTTTTCAACAGTTTCCTTACTGGAAAGAGTTGAGACGTTTTATAAGGCCAAGGTTACTAGGGTGATGTGATTTATAAATTTCCTTTGAAAGAAAGAGAGGGAAAGAAGAAATGGATGAGCACCAGCAAACACATGTTAACCAAAGAGAGCTGACACAACAGAGACTGAGTTTTGTGGAGAAATAAAAGGTAGAGATCTCCATTATGGTTAGATCTTCTATCCTCATTTCTAGAAATCAAGTTTGTTTGGTGTGCCTTAGAGAAGTAGGTACTTTCTAATGATCCTCCCATAGCAACCAACCAAGTCCAATGCCCTCAGTCAAATAACTCAAGGAATGCTTTAAAGCCAAGTGCACCTATCCATAAAACCTCATACGAAGTCCTGTAACAGGGAGCCACAAAAATATAAGAGAAAATGCACCTGATTAATAATGCATCACCTTTGAATCATATAATAATGGTTAAGAAACAAAAAGAGGAAAAGAGTACATGAGGAATAGTCCTTGAATCTGAGCTCAGTTTAGAAATCTGTGCATTTGATGAACACTTCTGAAAGACCAGGGATTCTACAAAGAAGCAGCAAAAATTTTCCTGGAAGAGCCACCATAACTATGTCACTGGAAATAGTTGGATTCTTTCTAGGGCAAGGAATAAAATCAGAGGCAGCAGTTTCCTCTTGCCTGTGTTTTCTTTTTTTTTTTTCCAGGCAAAATGAGCAGTGGTGGGTGGTTCCAGTGGGCAGCTTTGGCTGGAGTTGGTATCCTATGAGATCAGTTAATGCCCATTCAAAATAGCAATAAGCCCCTGCCTGATTTTTTCTGCCAAATTGAAGACAGGATGGCCTGTTGAGAGGGTCTAGAAGAGCACAGTGCTGAAACAGAAGCCAAGGCTTTCCATTCTAGGATGCTGGGCACCAAGGTTCTTTCCAGCTTGGAAGTTCTGTGTCAAAGAAAGAGGGGGACAGGTACCAACAGGAGAAGAGGCATTTACGGCCTGGCTTAACCTCTTCCTGCCTCAGCACTGTGACAGGCATCACTGGGACAGATTTCAAAGTTGGGGAGCACAGAACTGCCTAAAAACACTGAGATTTCACTATGACCTAACAACTGGCTTGACCCCAGGATTTCTCACAGTAGAATGATTTCTTGTCTCACTGGAAACCCTCTTCAAGTGACCAAAAGGAGACGGAAAAACATTTAGGGAGCCCAGGATGCATGTCACAGTAGAAAAGTGTATCACAGCCTCGGGGACATTATGCAGGCGGGTCAGTGGACTGCGGCTCACCCCCAGGCACAAACTACATCAAAATCCACTCAGGATCGTGCTGGCTGATTTTGCAATTGTTTGTTAAAACAACAAACCAAGGTGTTTCCCACACATGTGATTGTCTTTTACTGTCAGCAATGGCAAGTCCTGACCTGCCTGTCCCAAGTCCTCAGCCAAGAACTTGAACACTCTAACTTCCTATATCTCAATACATCTTAAACTGGGGGAAGGGGAGGGGTGCACATCTGCCATTTTTTAGCCCCATTTCAGAGGCTACTTAACTATGAGACATGCAGCAGGAAGTCATGTTGCCTCAAATCTGCTAGAGCAATCCATACATGCATGCTAAGTTGCTGCAGTCGTGTCCAACCTTGTGACCGCATGGACTGCAGCCTACCAGGCTCCTCTGTCCATGGGATTCTCCAGGCAAGAATACTTGAGTGGGTTGCCATGCCCTCCCCCAGAGGATCTTCCTGACCCAGGGATTGAACCTGCATCTCTTATGTCTCCTGCATTGGCAGGTGGTTCTTCACCACTAACATCATCTGAGAAGCCCCTGCTAGAGTCATGTTTGGCTCTAAAGTAAGGAAATATAGAAGACCTTGAAGCTGGTCAAAGACCTGTTCTCTTGACTTTGCAGTTATTTTTAATAACAGGGGATGTCTGATTAAAAAGATAGTTGCTGTAGATCCTCCTCAGCTGGGTTTGGGCTCTGTCTTGGAAATCCTCATCTAGAGAGGCTCATAGTGAAGTGGACTCTACTGTACCCTGCCGGAACCATGTCCAGACCACGCTGGGCCATGAACAGCCGGTTGACAGGAGGCTTCCTACTCACAGCTTTAGTTTGAAAAACCTGGGGTAAAGGGATGGAGGAGGTTGCAGATTGCAGCGTGACTCACACAAGCCCTCAGGTGGAAATTTCTCCTGCAGCTGAGTCCCTGGCCCTGGGAAGTGCAGGGGTGAAGCGCTGCGGACCTATCTCCATTGTAAAAGGGAGAGATTAAAAGCGCCGCCCCCAGTTTCCCAACTTTGAAAAGTAACTTCTGTCCTCTGGGTCATTTCTCTGAAGGAGGTGTGGGGTGTACCGCCCTCCCTGGAGAGGCTGCAAAGTGCTAAACCGCTTTAGAGGCAGCAGGGCTTGCCAGGGTGAGGCGTCTCGCGGTGGACCCGGGCTGCCAGCCCAGCGCTCCGTCAGGACTGTCCCCGGGGCAGCTCCCTCTGCCCGGAGGAAGCGTTTGAAGGCGGTTTTTCCAAAATCACCGCCGCTTTTCCTCCACTCCTTCCTTAGAGCCTCAAGGCGGGGAGGGCGCGGCCGCCTCCTCCTCCCGTTGTCCCAGAGCAGGGGCCCCGGGGAAACCTGTTGTAAAAACAGGGGTCAGGAGGGAGCCCAAGGACGCGCAGGTCTACGGGGGGACCCCCTGGGCGCGCCCCCGGAAGGGCCCCGCGCAGGCTCCCGGCACAGCCTGCAGCGAGGGACGCCCGCGCGCCGCGCCACCGCAGGCGGGGACAGCCCCGCGGGCTGAAGGCGCCCGAATCGCCGTTCCCCCCTGCGCCCTGCCCACCGCCTCGCTCACCACCGCCGCTTCTCCCTCTCCAGCAGCCGCGCCGGGACCATGTCGACCGAGACCGCGAGCGGCCCCACTGAGGACCAGGTGGAGATCCTGGAGTACAACTTCAACAAGGTCAACAAGCACCCGGACCCCACCACGCTGTGCCTGATCGCGGCGGAGGCAGGCCTCTCCGAGGAGGAGACCCAGGTGAGCCCCGGCGCGCACCCCGCGCGCCCACACTGCCGCCCCTCCGGACAGCCTCGATCTCGGGAAGGTGAGGGCCTCCCTCACCCTCGGCTCCCGCCTGGCCTTCTTCCCCCGGATCTGTCAGCGTTTCTGCCCGCACCCCGGGAGCCCAGACCTGCATCGCTTCCCGCGCAGCATCCCTGCTTCTCGGTTCCACCCGCGCCGGGTCTGCCCTGCACCCCAGCCGGGTGGCTCCCGCAGGAGCTGCTTAAGAAACCCCACGCCCACCCTCCCGTCTGCTTGATTTTCCTCTCTCCCCTACAGCCAGAGAAAGCACGCTCTCCTCCCGCCGGGCTGGGAGCCGCGTCTCTGGGCCCACGTTTGTCTCGCTTTCCCGGGTTTAGTTTCTCCTCTGGGCTCTGAGCGAAACCTTCCGGAGAGGCGCGGTGGGCGCCCACTGAGCCCGGCGTCCACGAATCCATTCCCAGCGGGAGTGTCAGAGCTGGACGGGATCCTAGTGATAAGCTCTAAATTCAGTCCTCGGGGTTGGTAAACGAGGAAACAGGTTCAGAGGGAGGGAATTGTCATGATGGCCCAGGTCGTTGTGCATGCTCTTTCCACCACATCTCGCTGCAGCTTCCGCTCAGCTGCAGACCTAAAATTGCAGGGAGTCAGGGAGATTTGGTTCTGATTTTTAAAAATTCCTCGGCTCTAAGGAGATCTAGGATCTTCTTTTTCTGGAGTTTTCTGACAAGGTAGACATCTAACATTACAACTGAAGGGAGTGAAGAAAGATGTCACTATAAGTGCATTGATTTATTTATTTTAAAATCTTCTGTATTATCCTGAAAATCGTTTAGGACAGAGAATGTAACACTGCCCAGGATTTTAACCACTAGGAGCTGTCTTGAAGGAGTACTGGCTTCTTCAACCGACTGGGGTTTTTTTGTTGTTGTTGTTTGTTTTTTAACCCTTGCCTAAACTCTGACTTCCTTTGGTCATGGAAAGACAGTTATGCTTGATAATACCACTTGAAACTCCTCTAGCATCTCTCCCATGGGAACCCAAAGCACTTCACACCAGTAGTCTCAGGTCTAATGCAGAGACTTTCTTATTCTTCCCGTTTTATAGACCAGGGCATCAGCCATTTTTTCTCTCCTCACCATGAATCATACTTAGATGAAGCTTAAGAGCTTGTAATGGGTGCTTCAGTGGATCCTAGAATCAAGACCCCAAGATACATCTTGGATCCCAAGTCCAAAATGATTTTTACTAACTAAGCCTTTGAACGTGGTGGGCTACAGTCCATGGGGTTGTAAAGAGTTGGACTAACACTTTTGGAGAATTTGCCTGTAGGAGATCCTCCCATTCCTAGGTCAAACAGAAAGTCAAACGTATCTTTTTAGAGAAGGAAACAGCTGTCTGGCTAACCAGAACCAGAACTTAATGGAAGGTGATTTAGAGTAACCCAAGTCTAACAGCTCTTGTTTCTTTGAACCACCCCCTCTTTCCCCAGGAGGCAGCCTGCTGAACTTTTGTCATTTAAAATCCCACGCTATATTTAGAAAAGAGGAGTGATCACAGAGACAGTAACTCAGCTTCTTAAAAAGAAAGCTGTGGATTCACTGTGGGCTCTGTGAAAGTGTTAGTCACTCAGTCATGTCCAAGCTCCTCTGTCTGTGGGATTTTCCAGGCAAGAATACTGGAGTGGGTCACCATTCCCTTCTCCAGGGGATCTTCTCCACCCAGGGATTGAACCTGGGTCTCCCACATTGTCTTTTCTTCCACCCTCAAATGGGCAAATGGTCGACCCAGCTCGGAAGTGGGCCTTGGCGGGGATGAGTCAGCCTCATAGCAGGGCCCTTCGCTTCCTTTTCCTGCCACAAGGCCAACACCTTCTTCCTCCCTGACATTGCCACAGCTCGGCTTTACCCCTCTGTCTTCCAGCACCAACCACAAGGAAGCATCTGAGACCCCAGAGCTCAGAGAGAAGCGAAATTTAGCAATTTCAGAGGAAGAGGCTTCCTAGGTGACCCTCTGTCGTCTCTTATCAGATTGGATCTCCTCTTCCAACTTCCCGTCAACCCCGCCATCCCCTTAACCCCTTGCCAGCCCTCCCACCCCCGTGGGCACTGGTGGGTGGGAATGGTTTTCTTGGAGGGACCCTTTAAATAACTGATGGAGGCCAGAGTGTGCTGGGCCTGTGTATAGGCAGTGTCTGGTATCAATGCTTTCTCTGTTTCTTTTCTTTATTAATGTTGCCTTTTTCCATAAGAGCAGGTCGTCAAAGCCAAGATAATATTTATTTAACATGCTTGCTCCCTTTATGCCTAATACCACCCACTTCCATAATTGGATTCATATTCTTTTTCCTAGAACAAGGAATACTAGGAAAAGAAAAATAAGTATGCTATGCTACTGTGAGATGTTAACAGTTAACTCAAGCTGATTCACACTTCTGATACTTGGGCAAAAGTAAGAGGGACTAAAAGGTTAAACTGTCCCCTGACTGGGGACTTTGACACCTTTATGGCTGTCCACTGTAGGACAATGTTCTCTACTTGGAGGGGACACCAGCAGGAACCCAGCATGACGTGAAGGATGCTCTAATGGGAATAACTTTTTAAGGTGCATTTGCTGGGATCCTTGTTGTTGTTCAGTCATGTCTAACTCTTTGGGACCTCAGGGACTGCAGCACACCAGGCTTCCCTGTCCTTCACTAGGTCCCAAAGTTGGAGCAAACTCCTGTCCATCGAGACCATGATGCTGTCCAACCATCTCATCCTCTGCTGTCCCCTTCTCCTTTTGCCTTCAATCTTTCCCAACATCAGGGTCTTTTCTAATGAGTCAGTTCTTTGCATCAGATGGCCAAAGTACTGGAGCTTCAGCTTCAGTCCCAGAATGGATTTTTTTCTCATGACAGTAATTAGATTTCCCCTATATTTAAATTAGATAAACTTTACAGAATCCCAATCCCTGTGTCTTTTATTATTTTGAAGTCAGTGTGAGAAGGGGTTGGGAAAGCTCTCATCAGCCCCTTGGGAGGTTAGGATGATCTTCCATTTTCTATTATCACTGATTCAATCCCAGTGTAGTTGGCATTGGTTCTTAGATTGGTTTCCAGAATTTTTATCTCCTCTTAACATCCTGGGATTCTTCCCAGAACCCTGGTTTTAGTTGTTAGATGTTTCATCAGTGAAAAAAAAACCTTTAAAGGTCTCCTCCTAAAAAGAATGAAATGTTAGTTACTGGAGAAAAGGACAGGAACAATGTTATTTTGCCTTAACCCTTCTACATCATAGGGTCTAATTATATTACATCTGTTCCCTTGGAGTAAATAAATCTCCATCAATGGGTGAGGCTAATGAGGGCATCCATTTATAAGCAAGCAAGGGATGAATGTCTTTCCCAGGGGATGACTGACCAAAACAAAGAAGAGGAGAAAAACCAGGTGGAAAATTAGTCTCGACATGAGTGAGATGTGATAACATTTCACTCTGAAGGTGAAAAAAAGCAAGCAAGGTGTTTAATGCTTTTTGTTGCTGGTTTGCTAAATTATTATACATGTGTGTGATTTAAAATATATATCTTTAGAAAATAGCTGAGCTTTTATTGAGCCTCCCTGATCCCCCAATGCTAGGGTTCAATTTATTAAGCATTTGGATACCAACTCATCGATTCACAGATGTGGTCATTGCTGAAGTTATTTTCGGTAACTGTATATTAATATTCTGCTTCATTACTCATGTAAGAATTGGCTCTTCTGAATGAGTCCAGCTCAATCATTTTGTCCTAAATGAATCCTGATAGAAAATGAGCCTTTCTCCCTCCAAATTTTAATTAGTTGCTCTGTAAAACTCTGCCATTTATTCAGCTCTAGTAACTGGAAATTCTGTTGAATCAGACCTTATAGCCGCAAAACCCCTGCAGAGGCACCTCATTAATGAGAGTGGAACCATACTGCTCTCACACCAGATTCCAGAGTTAACTAAATACACGCATGGATCACCGAAGCGAATATGCCCATCTTTAGCAGTAGAACATGGGCTGACGTGTGAAGTGCTGGTCTCTCAGATGTGTCTCTTTTTGAACCTGTGGACTGTAGCCCACCAAGCTTCTCTGCCCATGGAGTTTTCCAGGCAAGAGTACTGGAGTATATAGCCATTGCCTTCTCTAGGGGATCTTCCCCACCCAGGGATTGAACCCCGGTCTCTGGCATTGCAGTCAGATTCTTTATCATCTGTGCCACCAGGGAAACCCAGAACATTGGTTAAGGCCACCAAAAATACATGAGTTCTCTATTCTCCTTAAGGAGGGAGACTCCCCAGGAGTGAGATACTGCATCCAGAAAGCAACCCCTAAGAGAAAGTTTCCCTAAGAGCAATATGCCGCCACACCAACAGTACAAGGTGTGTAAGACCGCAGATCTCAGTGACTGTGTAACGGCGTCAGTGTGTAGACTCTGTTGAACAGTTAGGGTGACGGAGAGGCGTGGTCCCTTGCTCTTCAGCCAGCTGAGCCTTGGTGCAGACCCTCGACCATCCTGTCTCCTCGCTTCCTTCGAGCTCTCAGGCCTTGAGACACAGAAGCACTCCTTCCTCTGTGGTCCTTGCCCTTTCTTCTCATCTTGGGTGTCTGCTGAAGTGCCCTGTGACTCCCTAGATCTCTGTAGAGATGAGGCCCAGCGTGGCCCTGGAGCCCACCCTGTTTGTTGGGAGGCTGTGCTAAGTCAGAGACGTCTAGGTGTCCCCACACACTCTCTACGCCATCTCCATCAGCACATCTGAGGTCTGGCATCCGTCCCACAGCTGTGTTCTTTCTCTCTGCTTCCTTTCTGTCCCCTCATCTACTGGCCCCTAGAATAGGTACATTTTAAGTTCATTTTGTTTTTTAATCTGTGTTTGTTTATTTGGCTGTACTGGGGCTTAGTTGCAATGCACAGACCCGCTAGCTGTGGTGCATGGCCTCAGTTGCTCCCAGGCATGTGGAATCTTAGTTCCCTGTCCAGGGATCAAATCTGCATCCCATGCATTGCAAGGTGGATTCTTAACCACCAGACCACCAGGGAAGTCCCAGGAATAGGTAAGTGTTAGAAACTCTAACCAGGACAATAGAAACTCCCTAAGCTTCCCTCTTCACTTATAGTTGAGCTGACTGGCGCTCTAACTTCCTCAAGTTCTCAGAGCCAGTTGGTTAGAATAGAGCTTCCTGTTGGCAGGGCCCAGGATGGCAGAGCCCCCAGCGGTCACCTGCTCAAGCCGTGAGGTGGAGAAACAGTGCGTCACATTGTGTGAAAGGTTGGGAAGCACAGGAGTGTAAAGCCGAGAGGTTCCGTCCCTCCCGTAGAGTCTTCTTCTCATCGTCTCCCATGTCGATCAACGCTTGCTGCTTCTAGGCCTTTACTCTTCCCTCTTCAATGCTGTTTTCTTAAAAATCCAGATCCCTTCTGGCCAACCTTGTTCATACCCCAGACTCTTCCCCAGCGTGGATCTCCTCATTTCCCCTTTGTAGAATTCCTCACCCCTCGGTGGTATAATAATATACAAGCATGTTGTAGCTCAGTCGGTAAAGAATCTGCCTGCAGTGCAGGAGACCTGGGTTCAATCCCTGGGTTGGGAAGATCCCCTGCAGAAGGAAATGGCAACCCACTCCAATATCCTTGCCTGGAAAATCTCATGGACAGAAGAGCCTGGCGGGCTGTAGTCCATGAGGTCGTAAAGAGTCGGGCACAACTGAGCGACTAACACTTACTTATGTTCAGTTGTGTCTGACTCTTTGTGACCCCATGGACTATAGCCCCTCCAGGCTCCTCTGTCCGTGGAATTTTCCAGGCAAGGATACTGGAGTGAGTTGCCATTTCCTTCTCCAATGGTATAATCTCAGTGGTGTAATAAAGGCATCTCTATATGTTGTAATTGATGCTTTTGAACTGTGGTGTTGGAGAAGACTCTTGACAGTCTCTTGGACTGCAAGGAGATCAAACCAGTCAATCCTAAATGAAATCAGTCCTGAATATTCATTGGAAGGACTGATGCTGAAGCTGAAACTCTAATACTTTGGCCACCTGACATGAAAAACTGACTCATCGGAAAAGACCCTGATGCTGGGAAAGATTGAAGGTGGGAAGAGAAGGGGACAACAGAGGAGGAGTTGGTTGGATAGCATCACTGACTCAATGGACATGAGTTTGAATAAGCTCCAGAAGTTGGTGATGGACAGGGAAGCCTGGCATGCTGCAGTCCATGGGGTCAAAAAGAGACAGAAGTGACTGAGTGACTGAACTGAACTGACTGATATGTTGTAAGGCAGTTTTACAACATATGAAGAATGTTTTAGCCTTCACCTGGTACCATGTCTAGAACTATCCCATCTGAGGCTTTTCTAAATCCATGGTTAATTTTGTGAGGTATGAATATTTGGGTCACACAGATCTAGAAGATTTTGAGTAAACTGGGAGTTTTACTCTATCTTTCCTCACTGTTCAGCGGCTCTAGAGCATGAAAGACTGGACCAGACCCCTCCATAGATTCCCCCAAAAGAAGTGCCCCAAGGTTGGCCAGTGCTTAGTTTTTCATTCATTTTATTCGACAAATGCTAATGAAGCACTGGTGGATGACTGAGGCCCTTGAGATCACCCCACATTGATGAGGTAAAGCAGCTATATAGATTTATCTGGGGCAACAAGGAGATGCTTTGATCTCTTTTATCATTCAACAAACTTTGATTAATCTCTGTTAAGCCCTTATGCGAGGGGCTAATAGTGGTAAACCGGATGCAGACTCTGCTTTCACAGCTCTTATCTTTTAGAGTGAAATGTAGACTAAAAACAAGTGAATGCACAAGTTAACGAATTCATTACAGATATTCAAAGTTCTGTGAAGGTAACCAAGTATTAAAACAGAAACTAAGGAGATGGATAGAGAATCTACTTTAGATAAAATGGTCAGGGAAGGCTTCAGTGAGAAGGTTTTATTTAAGCATAAGAAATAGCATGTGCAAAGGTCCCGAGGCAGAAAGGTAAGGATCACAGTGAGAAGATCCAGCCCCATGGGCTTGTTCTAACTTTCCTTTTTTACAACTGGGTCACAGAAGCTACTCTGAGAAAGGGAGAAAGGGAATGGGCATTTTTCAATCTGTGACAAGTAATCTTGCACATTTTCCTCCTCCAGAAATGGTTCAAGCAGCGCCTGGCCCAGTGGCGGCGGTCTGAAGGCCTACCCTCTGAGTGCAGATCTGTCACAGACTGAGGAGGTGGTGGGCACTGGCGCTCCCCTTCATGAAGACCATCTGCTATTTCTCTTCTCAGCTTCATCAAGCTATTTTGGTTTTTCAGTGTAGCATTGTTGTGTCCCACTGTTAGCTGTCCTGCTATTTAACACAATGTTGTATTTTTTTAAATGTACATAACTAGAGAAGATAATAACAATTTTTCTGTGTGCAAGCACATAGGAAGCTATGTGCAGCAGCTTCTGTGTAAAGCAGAGGTGTGGCTGCAAATGGTGTGGCTGGCATTTCCTTTTGAGTCATGATGACAGATGGTGTTAAAAACCACCTAAGTTTCCTTTTGACCATCACCTCCCAGTAACAATTTACTGTTAACATTCATTTCAGAATGGTCAAGGCTTCTGTTGAAAAGACAACATGACCAAGAGAAAGACGTATTTCCTTCTAATTCCACTTCCCTAAGTCATTTTCCTTGTGTTTCATTTAATACATTGAGTGAGAATACAGAGGGACTTTGAGTCATGTGGATTTCATAAAGCAGTTCCTTGGATTATAGCTGAATTAACTTGGAAAGCACTCAGGTTGGAAGACAGAAATTCCAACTGGCAAAAATCAAATAATTAAGGGGAAAAATCCACAAAAGTCTTGAATTTCCCTAATTTAAATACATTTGTCGATTTATTTTGCTAAACAACATGAACTGCTTTTTGTCTCTGAAATGATGTTCTAAATAAAACCTTAATGTTTTGTGAAAATGCATTGAGTCCTCTGCAGATTTTTACCTGAATCATAAGCATATCAAAGGAGAGCAGAGTAGCTTAGGGTAGGAGCAGCCTGACAAAAGAGCTATCATTTTCTAATCCTTGCTGTTCAAAGTGTAGCCCAGGACTGGCGTCATCAGCATGAGCTGCAAGCTTGTGAGAAAAGTGCAGAATCTCAACTCCAATCCAGACCTACTGAATCAGAATCTGCATTTTCAACAAGCTCTCCAGGTGATGTACATGCACATGAAAGCTTGAGCAGCACTGATCAAAAAGCTCTACAGTTGATTTGCATCCATTTTCTATTATACATGGCACATGAAACAGTTTAGCGGAGTCTATCAGTTAAGACTATGTTTGAGTGCATGGAACAGTAACTTAATTACAATGGATTAACCAAATAGGCTTTCTATATGTTTGTTTAATTGACTGTTTTTACGTAAGACATCAGCAGGTAAGGGTGACAAGAAACTGCAATCATTTTATTTTCCTACTTTCCTATCTTTAGCATGTGGCTTTTGTGTTCATGGAGACAAGATGGGTGCGTTTTAAATAAAAAAGGAAAAAACAAAGGCAAATACGAGGTAAGACTCTTCCCTTTAAGTTTCTGGAGGCCCCTACCTAGGGACTTGCACCTACATCTCATCGGCCAGAATTGGGTCACATGGTCACTCCCAACTGCAAGGGAGTCTGGGAAGGTGAGCATATGTAATTGGGCATCATGCTGCCTTAAGAAAAATTAGGGTTCTCTTGGTAAGGAGACGAAAGGGGAGGATGGCTAGTGGAAAGGCCACTAGCAGTATCTGCCAGCCCAGCCTAGAATGAGGCTGGCATGCACGTCTGAACTCTTACCAACAATGGGGGCACAGCCTTTTCAGTTCTTTAAAAAGAGCCCGGAATAAGAAACAATAACAGTCATTTGGAATACAAATGTTTACAAGATCCCATTGAACATCCCTGGCAAGCTTCCTCGTCCTTTACCTTAAAGCATTTCTTCTCTAAACAATTCACAGTGAACCAGCATCTGAGCAGAACAGCCTCGACTGGTAGACTCTGCTGAGCCCCGTCGGTGGTAGTCTGTCAGTACATGGCTCGATGCTGACATCATGTTCTGGAAAGAAAGAAGGGAGATGCATCGGAATGTGTGCACTTCATAAACACCTGCATAGGGAGAGCATTCTTTACTGTTCAAAGCGCTTTCATAGTCACGGGCTAACAGGGAAAAAATGCACTGTTAGTATGACAGTAGGCGAAGCACGCCCAGACAGGGCATGGAGATGTGCTCACGTCAGGCAATGAGAGAGATGCCAGGTCTCAGCCCCAGCTCAGAAGTTTATCCAACACACCAGAGAAATGATTCAAGAACAAGCCATCCAGGATGAGAAGAGTTAACCAGCTGAGCAGAAAGCGCGCCTTTGGCTTGGAGTTGAGAAGCATGTTTATGATAGAGGATCACTTCCTATGTTTATCTGGCCCAAGAGTCGAATCCTTGAATGGCAGGTGCTGGAAGGGAATGAGATCGGGCATCCTTTAACAAATTAACTATTCAATTAACATATGTATCTAACTAGGGTCAGGGTTTTTGTTTGTTCATTTCTTGCATTTGAAGTACTCCTTGATGATATCATTGTAATGATCCTTAACCACCGCACAACTGCAACCAACCACTATGCCAGGTGTTTCTGTCAGTGTTTCTGCGCTCTGCCCACTGCCCTCGTTTCTTGTTGTCATCAGCCTTAAGGCTGATTTAGTGTTCAGCAAGTGGAGCAAGCCCGGTCTGTGCTTCTGATGGACAGGCTGTGAATTGGAGGTTTCATGATCATCTCCTCGGGGTGGATTGATTTTCCAGAGCAGCTCACAAAACTCGGGAAAAGTTTACTCCCTAGATTACCAGTTTATTATAAAGGCTGTAACTCAGCAAGAGTCAGATGGAAGAGATGCAGAGGGCAAGGCACAGGGGAAGAATGTGGAGCTCCCAGGCCGGCTCTGGGCGCCACTCTCCCAGCACCTTCTCCTCTTTACCAAGCCAGGAGCTCTCTGAAGCTTGCACTTTAGGGGGTTTTTACGGAGACTTCATTATGTAGGTGTGATTGATTAAATCATTGGCCAATCATGATTAAACTCAATCCCCAGCCCCGATCCCCTCCCTGGAGGTCGGCAGTGGGAGGGTTGGAGGGGGCTGAAATTTCCAGCTAACCACCTGCTTGATTCCTCTGGTGACCAGTCCTCATCCTGTGGTTATCTAAGGGCTTTCCAAAAATCACCTCCATAACACAAACTCGGGTGTGGTTGAAAGTGAAGTGAAAATCACTCAGTCATGTCCGATTCTTTGCGACTCCGTGGACTGTAGCCTGCCAGACTACTCTGTCCATTGGCGTCCCCAAGCAAGAATACTGGAGTGGGTTGCTGTTTCCTTCCTCAGGGGATCTTCCTGACCTAGAGATGGAACCCGGGTCTCCTGTATTGCAGGCAGATTCTTTACCATCTGAGCCACCAGGGAAGTCCTTGTTATTCATGACAAGAGGTTCCTTTTGCCTTTCTCACTCTGGAGCTACTTCAGGAACTGGAGGTCTTTGAGGGCAAAAGACCAAATACTATAAAAAAAAAAAAAAAAAGACGTTCCCATTGCTCTTATCACTTAGGAAATTACAAGGGTTTTGGGAGCTGCGTGCCAGGAGCTAGATGAAGAGCAAACATATATATTACTTATTAATAATCATGAGACCACAATATCCTTAGAAAGATTCTTCCTAAGGGAGAATTTGCTCTTTCGTTTATGAAAACACCTTGATGAGTTTTGGGGGCCATAAAAACATAAGCCTAGAAGGGAAGAAAATGAAGAATTCAGTGGCTGTGCACAAGAAAGTAGCGGAAACTTGGGACTGTGTCCCATGGATGCTCAGGTGGGCGGCTAGTGGGGGCCCTGAGGCGCCGAGGGAAGCGACGGAGGAGCATGACCCAGGACAGAGCACAGCCTCCAGCAACATGCCCGCTGACCCAGCAGGCTGGTGGGGTGGGCTCAGGGACTTTTAAACACCATTTTATATTAACACTGCACAGCGGCTATCATTCCACCACTGATCTTTGTCATCCGTCATCTTGAGGACAGGGCTGTTGCACAAAATGGCCTTGCCTTGGCGATGCTTTGGTGGGTGGAGCAGGCAGGAGCTGCTTGGGCCATGTCTGTGGCCCGCGGTGGGCAGCAGAAGCACTTGTTGCAGTCTGCTGTCTTCCTGTGAAGGGGTAACAACACCCCTTTGCATCTGGGGAGCACCTCCCTCTTCATGTGGTAGACCAGTTAATCATAGCATCCCCATTTCCCTGCCCTACTCAGAGTTAGACACGTGACCCAGGCCAGAGAATCACAACACCATGTCCCTTCGCACCTGGGGACTGAACCAAGATAACGGGCTTTGGGTCTAAGCTGGGCCAATTAAAGTCCCTCACCTGAGTTTCCCCAGCTGGAATGGTAGGGGTATTTCTCTACTGTCCTCGTGTTTAGAAAGTCCTGAGCGTGGAGGCCTGGGGTTGCAGGCAGCCATCGACCCAGCTAGGGAGAGAATGTCATGAGAGAGAATGAAGCCAGGCAGAGATGGAAGTTAGAAAGAGAGAGACACAGAGAGTGAAAGAGCATCCCTGATGTCCTAGGTCTGTGAACTAGCGAATCCCCTTCTTGGTGTGTGTCTGTCATTTGCAGCAAAAAGAACCCTAACTAATGGGAGAGTGAGAAAAGGAAGAGAGGAGTGCATAGAAGGAGGAATACTGGCCACTAGTGTAACTATGAATCCAGAAGAAGCAGGAATTCAGACTAAAAGAAAGCCAGGAATACAGAGCCAACAAACCCTAAAAATAACCAGACAGAACACCAGACAATTCTCAGTTGTTGGGGACTTGAGAAAAAGGTTATTTTTGCATGTTAAAGGAAAAGATGACCACTGACACGTAGATAATTTATGGACATTAAATACATACTTTTTGTAATTAAGTGCAAATGTTTGATCGATAAGATTTTGTTACCTTCTTGGGGACATTTGGCTACTCTCCCTCAACCCTGGCCATCTCCATGCAGCAGTCTTGTTCCACATATTCCACTTTCCACTAAAGGGTCTTTTGAAAACCTCAACAAACTGTTTCAAACGTATCCCTGCCCAAACTCAGTGCCAGAGTAACTAGCAATAACAAGAGTAGTAGGAAAAGTCATTTAAAAACGCCACATTCTCAGACTTCCCTGGTGGTACAGTGGATATGAATTTGCCTGATCCAGAAAGATCCCACGTGCCTTGGAGCAACTCAGCCTATGCAACACAACTCCTGGGCCCATGTACTGCAACTACTGAAGCCCGTCTGCCTAGAGCCCATGCTCTGCAACAAGAAGCCCCTACAATGAGAAGCGTGTGCCCTGCAACTAAAGAAAGACTGCTTGCAACTACAGGGACCCAGTGCAACCCAAAGATAAATAAACAAATAATTTTTAAAAAACCTTCATATTCTATTCCCATGATGGAAGTCCTAGGAGGTAGCGGGGTGCACAGAAGTCAGGCAAGGATACGGAACATGAACCATGCTTATATTGACAAGGCAGGAGAATAAGATTTCTTGGTCTTATGAAGCCCAGGGCTTTGATGGTGTGGTGTCTGTGAACAATTATAGGCATGAAGAAGTTAAGGTTTCTAGAGAGAGTCTCCCTTCGGCTTCACCATCAGCTGTCATCTTACAAATATTTGAGCACTGCTCCTTTGGGGATGTACTCCTATAAACATAAGTTTCCATGTGACTTCTTGTAAGAGTTTACCACCTAAACTTAGAAAAATATGAGAAACATTGGACTTGAATCTCAATTTATGTAACACATCCAACTACTGAAATACTCATGACTAACTGACTCACAGTTCATGTGACTCATCCTTGGAGTTCCAGATGAGCAATGCAGAAGGATTTTCTTTCTCTTTCTTCTAGATGCAAGCTCCCTCTCCCCCTGCTTTTAAAAAAAAAAC